ATCATTCAATCTGGGAGCAACCAGGATGTAACTGGACACAAATGGGCCTCTTCAAGCTCCAAAGTTCTACCTTTTTGCATCTTTTAGTAAATCTAGAGTCAAATTCAAACGAGTGTTAAGATGGATTTTCAGGATTTTTCCCATTCTGTCACCGGACACTAAACGAAAGGGGTCAGAAACGATTCCAGCCTCGAATAAAATCCAGATTTTGTTTCATTCCAGCCACATCTGACAGAAAAGGGAGCTTAAAATCTTCAGCCCAGTTTGAGAACAATTCTGGCCGAATTTTTCAGCCTTGTTTTGGCCCCATGTTTCTGACCCAGTTCTGACCCCCCAGAACCCACCAGAACCCAGTTCTGCCCCCCAGAACCCACTAGAACCCAGTTCTGACCCCCCAGAACCCACCAGAACCGGGTTCTGGGGCCTGTTCCTGCCTGGAGGACTCAGAGGCTGAACGGGCTGCAGAGGCGCTGAGCGAAACAGATCTAACCAGAGAAAGTGGGTTTCTGTGTGTGTGTCTGCCAGCTTCATGTTTTCATCACTGATGAAAAGTTGTGTTTTATGTCACATGTAAATGAGACGTTTGCCTGTTTTATTTTTTATTTTTAAAGCCAAAAAAGTGTAGAAAAAGAATAGTAAAATGAATAAAATCTTCAGCAAAACACATTTTTTACAGGAAAAGACAAACAGCTTCCAGTCTGCAGTTTCATCCTAATTTCTGTTCAACAGTAAATCTTCTAAAGTAGTTTTTTTCCAGTTTCTAACTCATTTTTTAATCTTTTGAAGTTACAGCAGAACAAATAATGAATGTAAATGTTGTCTGAAAGACGTAAAAAATTATATTTCTTATATTAAGACTCAAATGATAAGACATTTTTTTTCCTGTAGGAAGGATGTTATTTTTTATGGATTTTTTTTTTCTGAAGCGAATAAAAGTACAAATCAACCAAAAAAGAGAAACAGCGACATACAAATCAGCCCAAATGTTCAGCGAACAAACAGAAAGACAAATCATTTATTTGTTCCTTTACGGTTTTATTTGTTCTAAAATCCAAAAATCATAAAATGAAACAATTTGTTTTCAAATTAAACATGAAGAGGGATTAAATAGATTCTGACCCTGGA